TGGAAAATATAAAATTACATTAATGGACATTTATTACAGTAAAACAAAATATTTTTTATAATAAATTTTACTACGTGATATTTTAATAATATTAAGATAACCGGTCAAAATACCAACATGACCCAACTCCCGCCACTGAGATCACCAGTTCCAAATGAAAAATTACACTCTATATTCCAAAACAATTTACTCAAACAGTCAAATCCATATTACTATGTACTACGTATATTACTTCCAGAATTGATGAGTGGGGTTACTATTAATTTTTATAAAGGAGAGGAAGAGTGTGTCATCAATATATATTTTGCTGATGAAGATGAGCAGAGCAGAGCAGTAGAGTATGATTCTCCACGACGATTTGAAAAAGAAAGAAAAGAGAACGACCATAGATTATGATTTGTCGGGCCAAATAGAAGGGTATTCAGTGAACCCAAAAGGGATAATTTAGGTATTTTCTGATCGGCTGAAGCCAAACGTTAGAGGGACTAACGTCTTCAATAAGTTCATATATCTCAGCTTCAGCTAACTTCAGCCCTCCTGCCAAACAATCCTAATTTTATATTTACTAGCTGAACTTTAAAAATTCCAGTTCATTATGGACTGAAGTGGCATGCCAAACTAGCCTAAGCATAATTGTTATGAACTCGATTTTAAAGAATTCATAGAGAAGCTTCTTAATTATTTTCATGTCCTCTAATTTACTTTATTATGCGCCTCACAATATATTTTTCACTATTCCTTATTCAACCTGGTATGAAATATGGAGTACATACTTTTGATAGTAAGATTTTACATTTTAGTTATTATTTCATCACATTGAAAACGTCATTAATAAAGACCTTTTGAATTGAATTAAAATTTTCGGGTTTGATTTGGTCTAAAGTAATATGATCTGGTAGATTTCTGTTTTACATTTTATGTGTCCAATTATTATTAAAGTTTGATCTGATCTGATTTAGTCTGAGACTGAAATCAATCTAATTAAAAACATCTTAAGAGTAAACAAAATTAGGAATTTGTAAACATATAAAGATTTCCTAATTTGGATTAGGAATCGATCTATTTCAAAAGTGACAGAATCTAGAGTCATTTATTTCTATATCAATATGCAATCAAAAATAGAATCCAATAAAAATAAAAGGTACGGAGTATAAAAATAACTAAATAATTGTTATATATGATGAATGACATGGCATTATTACATGACACTTTGTATGCTCTTAAAAAGTTCCTCTTATATATATTGATTTGGATTGAATCATAACCAGAAACTTCGATATGCTTGGACACAGAGTGACATGTAAGTATGTAACATTGTAGCCAATCTGGTTCGGTCCGATATGCTGTTGGACCCGATGTTAAAGAGATATTAGCTATTTATGATTGTAATCTCTAAAAGAGTTTTAATTAGAGTTAGGATTGATGAAGGGATTAATCATGATCTAGGGTTAATTTTATGATGGATTAATTGTGCGATCTTTATTTAATTTGTGTTTGAATAATTTAAGTGATATTTCTTGTAACCTAAAACTGCAGCTAAGATTATAATTGCATATAAAATAAATTAAGAGATGTCTAATTTATTCTAGGACACATTTACACACACTTAATCATTCTCTAAGGGATTAGTAACGATTAAGGGTTCGTACGCTCGCTCGTTTTAGCAATAATTTAGATACCTGTCGTATGAGAGATCAGTTTGGTTACCTAAATTATTGTACTCTACGCCGCGAGAGCGGTTAGAACTTAGTATTGATCAGCGTTGCTCAATTAAATAATTTTCATGTGATTAAGTCTGATCAACGAGAAATCTGATTACTCAAGAATCAATCTATGTTCCCTTCCGTCATTAATTAGAAGGATTCCGTTAATTTCAATCGTTTGTTCACAATTTTAATTTTCCAACCAATCAAATCTCCCATAATTGCATTTTATTTTATTTATTTTTGTTGCTGAATTTAGTTGATTCTTAATTCCTTCAATCCATCCCTGTGGAGACGATAGTGCGAGAAAACCCATATCAGTTTTTAGGCACGCACGGCGTGCGTGGCTTGTTTTTCTTCGTTTTCTTCCGTTTCTTGTTGTAAAGGCTTCCGTTCCAACCCGCGATCCATCCTAGAGCTCATTTGTTTGCAAATCTTCATCTTCAACACCCCGTTGACCTTCAAATTAAAGCTCTAATTAAATCCACTCTCAAATGCATCTTGACTCATCCCGATTGTTTCTCAAACGCCGGTGCCGGGCTTTAACTCCCTTATTTTGACTCCAAAAATACCAACCATGAACCAACGCCCGGTAATATATGACTTGAGCTAATTATGAGACTTGTGACACATTTTAGTTAGGAAAACCATCAAAAACTGATCTCAACATGCATCAAATGCGTGTCGGGATACGGACTTATCATGCCTCTAAATGAAGATGTTGACGATTTGCTAAAGATTGGTGTAGTGTACTCAGGGACGGAGCCAGGATATCACTAGAGAGGGGGTCGGGCCCAAACAAAAACGTATATATTCGTTAACATATTTAATTAGAATTGGTCTTGGTGATTAATTTGAAATATTTGAGACTTTGTATGACAACTAAAACAAAACAATGTATCAGTATACTATACTGCGTGAGATGTTTAATTTTCGAAAATCATTCATTTACTACGTGAGTGGATAATGCTTAGGGAAAGAAAATAAATATTAGGAAATGTTTTTTTTTGCATCACAAATTTCAAATAGATTAAATATGATTAATAATATTAAATTTGTTTACATGCTAAATTATATTACTCTTTAACTATACAAATAGACATAAATATAATTCATTTCACATCAAAGTTTATTCATTGGAATTGATCACATTTATTTCTCCCATATATTTATAATTTTCGAATATTTTTCAAGCTTAATTGAATAGTTTTAATATAATTAAAAATTAATAAAATGATTAATTTAAGATTATATATCTATCAACCATAACTAGTATGCTTCACTTTAAAAGAGAATATTATAATCAAGGAATTTTATCAATCCGGGACCTGAAAGATAAACGAACTATCAATTCAGGACCTGAAAGATGAAATGTATCGATATAGGACCCGAATGATGGAAAACTATCAATCTAGGACCTGAATGATTGAAAATTATCAATTTAGTACCTAAGTTTTCATAAATTTTATTATTATTTTTTTTAAAAAAAAATTAAATAATATTTAGTTTTATTAAACTAATAAACTTTTGTGAAGAAAATTTCACCAAATATTAGCAATGGAATTAATAAAAAATTAAATAAATCAAAACCTATGTAATGTTAAGTCCTAGATTGACAGATTTTCATCTTTCGAGTCATATACTGATACATTTCATCTTTCAGGTCCCGATTTGATAATTCGTCTATCTTTCAGGTCTCAGATTGATAAAATTCCTATAATTAATCAATATACTAACAATTAATTACTCCTACAAAAAATTACTAATAAATACATTGAACATTAACTATTTAATACTACCTCTGTCTCGGTGGACTTTGCCAAGTGCAAAGTAGATGAGAAATAAGAATACTAAAAATTGTGTAGTTGAGATTTGTGCATTAGAGAGAGAAATGTGCAGAACCACAAATTAGTTGCTTTAATAGGAAAATGACAAAGTTTTTTGGGACAACCAAAAAAGGAAAGTCACCAAAATCCAATGGGACTGAGGGAGTACTAAAAAATTGAAATGTTGGGTGGGGCCATGGCCCCCCTCCCTCCAAGGCTACCTCCGTCCCTGAGTGTACTATTTCAAGCAACTGATTTTGGTTGTCCCAAATTTTTTGTTAATTTCATTTTAATTAATTAATTTATGGTTGCTATTATTTCTTTCTCATCTTCACAAATCTCAATTACACAATTTTTACATAATTATTCAACTTGGAAAAATTTTAATGTACGGAGAGAGTAACTTTAAAGATTTCAAATCTATTAAAGTTATTAACTTTGGTTGTTATTTCAGCGCAAATAACATTCGAGTAGATCATTTAAATTGCCTACTAAGTGTCTAAATCATTTACAACCTTTCTTCGTTCAATAACACTTATTTTAAATTAATCTAATGAAAAATAAATCGACCACTACCAATCACGTTACGAAGCCGGCCAGTTGTCGCTGCCATCACTTTCATTAAAATCAGAATGTCTCAAAACTATATATTCTGAACTCTTTTCTTATAGAAGGAGATAGAAGAACTAATTTGCTCAATTTTAAATCCTAGAAAGGCTAATATTTTCAAAAAAAATGATCACACCCATTATATAAAATAAAATTTACAAAAATGTGTAGTTATTAGTTTTGAAAAAGCAGGAAGCTTTGAATGAAATCTAATGAATAAAATAGGCATTGAACAAATTCTTTATTTGTTTAGACAAAGATGGTTGAAAAAATGAAACTCAATTGGAAGCAACAAGATTTATAAAAAAATGGCTCTTTAATTTTAATTGGATAATTTAGACTGACAACATGTTTAGATAATTAGTTAAATAATAAGACATGCTCATCAATAAATTATCATATGCATTACCAACCAATGTTATAACCCAAGGGAGTGTTTAATATTGATTAAAAAAGCATTTTTCAACTTTTGACTTTAAAAAAACTGAAACTAGTGTTTTCAAATATATACTTCTACTTAAAAATAGCACTTTATTAAAACTAAAAGCTAGGAGCTGATCTATACCTACTTCTAAGTTCTAACTGCTTCTATGATTATAATGGCAAACAATTTCTGACAAACCCAAGACACCCTTCGTCTCTAGCCATTTCTGTAGCCTCACCCAACCGCTACTCTTCCTCTTTGAATATATATACACACACATATACGTAGTATATGACTGCAACCGCAAGATTCCCATCTCCAAATTCAGTATCATTTAAATGCTTATTCTCAGTTTCCACAAATTTCTTGACATCTCAAACCATAATTTAAAGATACACACCCTTCAATTTCTATATTTAATTTACAGGCAAGAAAAAATGGAAGAAGCAAACTGGGTCTCTCGAAGAAAGAAAACAGGAAGAAGATAAGCTTTACCAATTGAATTACAGTGAGGTGGGATGACTGGATCTTCAGCTTTTTATTTTTTAAAGCTACGTGGAGTGAATGCATGTGGTTCGAGACATGTTCCAAGGATATGAGAAACTGTCGTGTGAGGTAGTAAATTATTCCAAGTCCTCTATGTCGTTCAGTTTGAATGTGAGTGAACCAGATAAACAAATGTGTTGCCAGATTTTGGGTATTCCTAGAGAGGGAGGTCAGTCGAAGTATCTGGGACTGCCGGCGTTGGTTGGAAAAAATAAAATGATCATTCTCGGTTATCTTCGGGACCGAATACATTCTAGACTTAAAAGTTGGAATGATAGATTTGTATCTAGAGTTGGCACAACGGTGTTATTGAAAAATGTTGTTCAGACGATGCCAAGCTATGCTATGAATGTTTTTTTATTACCAAAAGAACTTTGTGATGATATAGAAAAAGTAATGAACGAGTTCTTGTGGAGGGGTTCCAAGTTCGATAAAAAAGGACTGAGATGGAGAAGCTGGAAAGGGCTATGTATGCCGAAAGAGGTGGGTGGCTTAGGCTTCAGAAGACTGAGAGAATTTAATTTGGCTATGCTGGGCAAACAGGGCTGGCGATTAATCACAGATGAGAGTTGTCTCATGAGTCGGGTTCTGAAGGCAAGGTACTTTCCTAATACGAATTTTCTTAATGCAAAGCTGGGTAATAATCCTTCTTTTATCTGGAGAAGCATATTTGAGACTCAGGAGCTGCAAAAAAATAATACTCGAAGGCGTGTTGGGAACGGTGTAGATGTACAAGTATGGGCAGATGCATGGCTGCCAGGGCAGGGATCAGGAAAAATTTCTTCCATTCGACGCAGGAGTGTGAGAGACATGAATGTAGCGGCACTTCATGATATTACAGGGAAGAAGTGGAATGTGGACAAGATCTGCTCTCTGTTTAATGAGGAGGACAAAAAATTGATTCTTAGTATTCCGATCAGTGCACAGGACAGAAAGGATGGATATTGGTGGAAGGGAGAAACTAATGGTCTGTATTCTGTTAAAAGTAGGTACCGGCTACTAATGGGCGAGTTCCAAGCGGATGGATGGAAATGATGGAAGAATTTGTGGGATATTAAGGTTCCACCGAAATTTAAATTTTTTGTTTGGCAGGTTTTGGATGGAACACTCCCGGTGGTTGATAATTTGAGGAGGAAAGGAGTGTACATTCAAGGCGGGTGCAAGCTGTGTAACGCACCCGATGAATCACTAGATCATGCGATGAGATCGTGTGCAAGAGTCCAAGTAGTGTGGCAGGCAGCTGGGAAGTACATGGACTTCGAGCTAACCACTACGGAAGCCTGGATAAGGAAGCGGCTTGATAGTTTGGGCGAGGAAGAAAGAGGTAGTTTCATGGCTATACTTTGGAGTATTTGGAAATGGAGGAATACAGTAGTTTGGGAACGGAGGAATACTGCTAGTGTTTTAAATGCGGCTACTGGAATGTTGACTAGTTGGAAGGAAGTCCAAGTCACTGAGGAAGGGAGGATACATTTGGCCGGAGACCGTGGAAATAAATGGAAGAAACCGGGGTCGGAGATTTTATTAAAATAAATGTGATTGGCGTTGTCGACTAGGAAGGGAGTAAAAGAGCCTAGGGATGGATAGCTATAGACGAGTATGGTGATTTTATTAGAGGCTCGGGCACTACACATTCGGCCAGCTGGACGGTCCCGGAAACAGAAGCTATGGGGGCACGTGTGCGTTATCGGCAGCATTGGAGATGGGCTGGCAGCAGGTGGAGATTGAATCAGATGCTCTATCGTTTGTGAAAGGAATTAAAAAAGGAGAGGGATCCTCTTATCTGCATCTTATTCTTGATGATATTAGGAAAATTCTTGAAACAAAGAGCAATTTTTTTGTCTCTTTTTGTAGGCGGTCTGCGAATCGTGCGACTCATGCTTTGGCAAGGGCACGTGTTGTTCTCTCAGATCAGAGGATTAATTATAATGATATTCCTCACTCTATTGTAAGCCAGTTGGCAAACGATTTGCTGATTTAATATAGCTTTCAGTTTTGATGATAAGAAAATCACTTCTATCCTAAAACACTATCAACTTTTACAAAAAAACACTTTTTCTAAAATCATTTTAAAAAATCACTTCTTAAAAGACAAAACAATTGCAAACACTCTGTAACAATGTTATAGTTCTACATCATCACATTATTAAAGAGACCTTAAGTTGAACTACAGAAATGTGTCATAGCTGGTGGGCGTAACTCAACTGGTAGATAGGGGGTGCCACAAGGGGTAAGTCTCGGGTTCGAATCCAGACAACTGCGATGAGAGGTTGTTATGCCTAAATATGCATAGGGCCTCTACAAATACCAGGGTCAGAGGCCCATTTTTCTATCTGTCAGCTTATGATTAAAATCCAACTTACATCCCCCAGCTAACTGTCCGGCCAGTGCTTAGGGACCCTAAGGGATGGGTGTCATCCTTTTTTAGAGAAATGTGTCATAAAAATCGTACCAAGTAATTATTTGATTGCAGGATTGATATATTACACACACACCGAGGTAAAAAAGCAATACTCCATAAAATCATAAAATAATACTCCATATGATGCATATAATTCTGAGCGTGCTGGATATAAAAATACGTAGCGTATATTTGTTGCATTCTTAAATAGTTGCAACATTAAAAATTTTGCACTATTTATGTGCTCTATTTTGACTATATTATATTTATGAGAGCTACCTCAGCCTACCTCGCCGCACAGGACACCACCTAGCCACCTCGCAGCACAGCCTCCTCTCCGCATCGTCTCGTTTCTCTAGGGATGTGGGTTGTAATCCTTCGGATCTATATATGCCATGAGCGATGGGTGAAGGCGACAGGCGACAGAGATAATATGTGATGAGCGATGACGAGCGACGGTGTGGCAAGTGGCAAGATCGATTGGAGTTTGACGGTGACGAAGAGCAGCGACTTTGACGAAGATGGAGGCTACGATGACGGAGATGGGCTGACGGCTAGGATTTTGGCTGGTGGTGCTGAGCTGATGGCTGGGGGCTACAATTGAGGTTGGGGAAGACGGTTGTTGGTTGGGGGTAGGTTGGTTGGTTGGTCAGATCTGAGTTTCATTGAGCGGCCACAAGCCGCCTTGGGCTTCATGGAGACGGTGGTAGGCTGTTGCAGGGGGTATTGTTATGGACAGAGGGTTGTTGTAGGGACTGAATTGGGATGCTAGGGAGGGGTTGGAACAAGCTTTGGCGTGCTGCACAATCTCGCCGGGAAAGATCATCGGAACATTTTCCAGCGGTCATAGTGACACGTTCAAGCCAGTGACATTCATTAAGTGACACGAAAATACGGGAGTGGCGTCACTCTGGTGGCATCACTATGCCGGTGTCACTGTGGCGGTGGTGGTGCCGGTGTAATTGGCGTAAAAAAATTTACTTTGACAACTCTCAGTTACAAGAAAAACGAACACAGTGACATAAATTTATATGTTTTATTGGCTAAAAATAGGACTAAAAAGACCTAATCTGACAAAAATACCCTTAGTTGTGTGTCGATGCAGGGGTCTGTGTTGCAAAGATGGCGTTCCCCTTTGATGCGCAGGTTTCCGTGTGCCGCTGCGCAGGCTGCCTCCAAGAGGTCGACGCCTCCACCAATGGTGCCTCTGCTACCATCCATCAAGTTTTACACCATCGCCACCCCTCAGAGAGTACACTGTCATCATTCTTCAACAAAGGTCTGCCCTCCAGTGAGTCTGTGCAGACCTCCATGAGGAATGCCACTTCATATGCGAGAATGTCACTTAATATGCATAATGATACAATAATGACAATTTCGTATAGAAACATGACATTTTCAATATGACATTTTCAAATACTGTAATGACATAGAAGTGACATTTTTTAAAAATGACCAATAATGACACAATAATGACAATTTCATATAGAAACGTGACATTTTCAATATGGCATTTTCAAATACTGTAATGACATAAAAGTGACATTTTTTAAAAATACCCAATAATTATGACATTCTCTTATTCAAAAAGTGTCATTTTCTGGAATCAGTAGTCAGGGCATTTTGAGATTCAAATTTATCAAAATTGATAACAAGAAATTCAAGTTGAGATATATCTTCATCTGAAAACTTTCAAAATTCAAAATTTTATTTAAAATTTGTTGATAAAAAACTAAAAAAAAAGAAAGCAGAGAACTAGGATGAAGAAGAAGCAAAAGAAGAAGAATAAGAAGAAGAAGAGTTGATGATGAAGAAGAATAAGAAGAAGAAGAGAGTAGAAGAGAGATGGAGAAGAGAATAGAAGAGAAATTACTTGGTTTCATGGGAAAAATCACAGAAGGCTGTCGGAAGTGGAGAAGACCGGTGGTGGCTATGGCTGTGATACTGACGAGCGGCGGCGACTATGGCAGTAATACCGGCGAGCAGCGGTGGCGGTAATGAAAGATAAAGATATCGCTGGGTTGTGAATGAGTTGTGACTTGTTCGCATGTCTCGGCTGCTTGGATCCGATCCTTGCTTGGATTGAGTTGTTATAATTATAAGAAGGGTAAAAAAGTAATTGGGAGACCTATTTTGGGAATAATAAACTTATAGTCCTACTTTGGAATTTTAACCATCTTTTAGTCTCATTTAGGGCAATTCTTTCTAAGTTATATAGTCACTACGATGTAACATTTGAATACAATTACAGACATTAAAGTCACTAGAATCACATTTTTGTCCACTATTTTTATTTTGGTCATATATTTAGAATTAATTCTTTTGTTATTTCATTTTTTTTAAAGTAATAAATTCTTTTCACTCATTTAATCGGTTACATTGCATTTTATAATGGATACGAGTTTTGTGTTTTTATTGTAAGCCCATCTAGATCCAGCCCTATGGTGACATGATGTGGGCCAGTCTGGCCCGACTTATTAAGCCAAACTATATAGACAGGTTAGGACTACAATTTTATTACAAAAGCTCGACCCGAATTATTCCTTTAATTATTTTTTATATATAAGTCCAGCCTAGCCTGACTCGAACCCATTAGTTTTGAGGCGGTGTAGCCCAACCCAGCTTGTTGATGATCTCTAATGTCAGGCTAAAAATTTCACAAAGCACTCCCCCTCTAGGGGTGAGTTCGGTTCTTTCGGTTCAGTTTTGACCTAAAACCAAATACGGAATCAAAGTAAAATTTCGGTTCGGTTTCAGTTCGGTTTTACACTTCAAAACTTCAAACCACGGTTTGATTGGTTAGGTTCGATTTGTTTCGGTTCGGTTTCGATTTTTTCGGTTTTTTACTAAATATTTGTCATTTAATTTAAAATTGATATAAAAGTTGGAGGGATCAAACATATTACATAAAAATGCAAGCATACTTGAACAAATGAAGAAAATAATAATAAACAAATATGTCTTGAATTATATGAGTATGCGGGAGAGATAAAAGTGTGTATCTATTCTTAATTTACAATGTTTGTGACTAGTTTGAAAAACGTTTATGAATACATACGTCCTGTGTGATTTAGCCGAGATGAATATTTATTTGTTTGATCAATATAAAAAAGTTAAGTTACAAAAAAGAATTAAGTTACATTAAAATAAAAGTTAATTACTACTAATAACTAGTAAAAACATATAATCATGCAACAAATTGCAACATACATACATAAAAGACATAATAGATTAATATTGCAACATTATCATGGGCAATGAATGTGTAAATGCATTTATAAACTAAACTAAACATAACATAAACATTATTTCTCTAGCACAAGAAATTCAAAGATTATTGATGATATTAAGATTAATGCTTACATTTAACAAATAAAATTTCATATTTTATTTATGTTCGGTTTGCTCGGTTCGGTTCGGTTTTGAAGGGTAAAAACCAAAACCGAACTAAACTACTACGGTTTGGTTCGGTTTTTTACATTCGGTTTCGGTTTTTAGCGGTTCGGTTTTATTTGGTCACGGCTCGGTTTAATTTGATTCGGTTTTCAGTTTTCGGTTTTTCAGACCCAGCCCTACTCCCCACTCAAGCACTAAAGCTCTTCCAACTTTGTTATATATCTTTAATTAACAAATCAACAAGTATAAACATATTTTATATCAATTTATTATTTAATTACTTCATCAATTAATTACTGAAAAATGAAAATAGGTCGATCTTTCTCATTAACAGAAATTACATTCCATCAGATCTTTGTTAAATTTCATTATTTCATCTTAAATTAGTAGGCCCAAACCCTAACCAGCCTAATAAATAATTAAAAACACTAAATCAATCACTCAATCACAATATCACATATTCACATAAATTACATAACAAATTCATAATGAAACCTAGAGGCTTCTGAGGCTGAGACAGTGAGATGCGTAAAGGCGGTAGAGCCTAATGGCGGATGGCGGTCGTGGAAGGACACTGCGTCACTAACTCGTTGCCCGTCTGTCTACTCGCTTGAGACTTTGAGTCGCTTTAGTCGCTTGCTAGACTGCTCGTAGGTGGCTATGCTCCTCCTCCCAACGTACACCTTTTTTTTTGCTATTGGCTATTGGGCTAACGGACTTAAGGATGCTTTCTTTTTGACTAAAATTTGCTGGTCTGATGTGATATGGTCCGGTCTGTTTAAGTCTGGTGTGGTCTGGTCTGGTCTGACCTGGTAAACATCTGATCTCTATGTATCTTATAACTGTCCAAGTCTGGTTTGATCTTGTGCGTATAAGTCTAGTCAAGTCTGACCTGGTTTGGTTTGGTCTGGACTGAAAACAATCCAAAAGAAAACATCCTAAATAATAATAGTCGTAATACCACTAGTTAAAAATTTTGGGCCTTCCAAATATTTGGGCCCTATGCGGTTGGGCTGCCCAAGCCTCCCCTGGGTCAGCCTTGTGTACACAACAACTCGTTCAGAAACTATTGTGTACACAAGCAACTAGACAGTGCGTACAAAGTGTATACAAATTATATGTACAAGGAGCAC